CCCATCTAGACTTCAGTGTTGCTGCTGTTAGCAGTGCAGCTCAGAGGGGCTGTATCAGGGTGGCCAGACTGAGGCATAGGGTTCTTAAAAGGTGCATAGAAAGATCCTCTCTTTTTAACACCCAGGAGATTCTGTTGCATGCATCATATGATCTAATCTGCCTGCAGAGCAGAAAAATGTAATTTGAAGGAGATTCAGGTCCCTCCCTTTTTCAAGATAGAGCCCAGAATTTTCTACTTCCACTTGGCATCTGGTTTTGAATTGAAAGAACACAAAGTAATTTTTAAAATTGCTCAAAGAAATGTTAAGACAACAAGAGCTGTATTTAAAGACTATTCAGAAAATATAAAGAAGACATTGATTATAAAGCTGTCTGCCTTCTTCTCTTTAGAAGCTATGGGAGGCTATTAGAACACATTCAGCTCTTACCTAACATTGAATTCAGTAAAATGGTTCTCCCTTAATGTGCAAATCTATAGAATCTGGTACTGCTCCTGTATTAAGTTTGCAGGGTGAAGTAGGGTTGGCCATGAGTAAAGTGCTTACTCACCTAGGATTTGTAAATATTTCATAGACCTTCTGGTCCCAGGCACATATCCATCTGTTTGTTTCTATCATTTATAGAGGACAGTCCTCTCTAAGGAGTTGTTCAGTACAAGTCTGATCTAAAGATGAAGAGCTATCAGATGGGAGAACTAGGCCTTGAAGCTGCCCATCAACCATTACACCTGGGCAGCACAGGTTGCCCGGTCCAGTCTGCCTTACTAGGGTGACCACTTCATTGTAGGGTAGATTGTGACTTGGTGACCTTTGTGCCTGCTTAGTGCTGTATTTTTATTCAAATCCCAATAATGTTCTAAATTTGTTTGTACATACTTTAGCATATGCAAGCACTTAAAACTATTTGCGTTCTGTCTCAACTTCCTTTTTTGGTGCTACATTTCCCTCTTCGTTTTGTTTTGAATGATGTATGAGTGGCTGCCCTAATAACTTGCCTATCAGGAAAATACAGAGGGTAGCTTACACTGATGCTTGAAATAATCAAAACACAACAAATTATAATGCAGTTCTTAAAACAGTAAGAACAGCATTATCAAATCCACCATATTTACTGAGTTTAAAAACACAATAGACATCAGTGGTCTGGGTAAATAACATGGAGCCTTCTAGGAAAACTCACAGAGGAGGTATCATCCCCGAAAGCTCGCTGTGCTCACCATTTAAGCATGTAAGAAGGGGCGTGCTGGATCATACCTGAGACCCATCTGGTCTAGTATTATTTTCCCACAGTGGCAACCAGATACCTATGGGAAGAGCCTTGAGGGCTTGAGTGCAATAGTACTTTTATTTATTTATTATATTTATTGTATTTCTAGCCTGCCTCATTAGCCACATGGCTCCCTCCTGCAACTGTTTCTGGGAACTGGTATGCATAGGCATACTGTATTCTGCCTTTGAAAGTGGAGGTAGTGTATAGCCATCGGATCACTTATGAATCACAAAAAAGCCGGCACCAATTTGCATAGAATATACATATGCTAATTTATATGTAAAATGCAAACTTAGTATGATTAGAATTCAAGTAGATGTGCAGTATATCTCACCATAATGTGGAATATTGTGGCCAGAAGACCTGTGTTCTTTATTCAATCAGGTGTCCAGGTGCTGTTGATGGGCATCTTCAGTACTTAGCTCTTCCTTCTGATGGTTCATTATCTTTAAACTAGATTTGGAATGGACTCCCCTTCAAGTTTGTTTAATGATGAAAACTTTTATATACCATCCGTTAATTAGCCATAGGCTCTTGGAATGGTGTACAGTAAGTTGAGAATGGCCTCAAAATAGAGAGCAGTCTCTGGCAGGCTTTGACAGTCCTCTGTAAAAGGTCTCCCTAATGACTTCTCCTCCATGGATTTGTCTGATCCCCCTTAAAAGCTATCTGAACTGGTGGCCTTCACTACATCTTATGTTAGTGAATTCCATAGTTTAACCATATGCTATGTGAAGAAGGGGGTCTGAAGTTTTGTTTGTAGATGGGGAAGAAATGGGATGGTTTCATTTAAAATTAGATCAGACTCAGCCTGTGATACATTCTCCATCTTTATTACCATGTAAGCTACTTGCTGGCAAGAGTCAATGAGTACAGTTAAACTCTGAAACAATTACAGCTACTTATGAATCATACATTGTGATGAAAAAAAGAATTACTATGAAACCACAACCGCAATGCTTGAGCTGCAGTGTGTGATGCCATCCTCCTTCTTTCAGGACTTAACTCAATCTCATGTATATTCAGTGGACTAGAAGATGAATAGATCCTGTTTCCATTCCCTTGCCATGCCCAGGTCAGAGCTGCTGCTGAAGCTCAGATGCAAGCCTGGTATAAACCTTCTCTTTCTGAAGAACCACTTATTTCCTCAATCTGGAAATGAGGGTGGGGAACCTGGTTGGGAGGGTGCTTTTGGACTCATGTCCTGCTTGTACCACTGTGAACAGAACACTGGAGCAGGTAGACCCTTGGTTTGATCCAGGAGGGATCGCCCTGTGACCTTTCAGAGAAAGATAACTGAAGCCATGAAGATGGTTTCAGGCTTACCTAAAAAGGAGTGGGATGACACCCCACTTCGGGCATTGCTCTGAACATGATCTCTGTATTCATTAGGCTGCCCTTTAGTTAGCATATTTTATTTGTTATTTTTTTATTTTTTTCATTTCTATACTGCAATAGCTGAAGCTCTCTAGGTACAGTTGATAAAATACTATAAAATGCAATATATGATTTTTTTTAAAAAATCACCAGACGTTACCCCCATGTGCTATTTGGAGTTAGTAAATGTTTTGTCAAAGAGGATAGTCTTAATATGGCACCAAAAAGTTAATAAATTTGATGGCAAGTGAGCTTCAGTGGAGATCATTCCATTATTTGAGGGCTGCTACAGAGAAAGCTCTCCTCCTCCTTCTGGTAAACCAAGCTTCCCTTGGAGGTGACATTCAGGGGTAGGCCTCAGAGGTTGAACATAGTGGCTGGGTAGAAGAGGTGTTCCATCAAGTATTGTAGTGCCACACGAGTGTGCAAGACATTCATGGATAGAGTTAGCTTCCCAGTACCATATGCAGCCCAGCTCACTGATTGTTAGGACAACTCAGCACCCAAATGGTTAATGTGTACATTCATTGAAAATTAATGAAGAACATGCATTGGAGCAAGAGCTGTCCTTTTCACAGTCCAATCCGTCTCCCATCTACCCTAAGAAGTAGCAGCAGATTGGATTCTGTTGTGATTGAATAATTTATTTAAAAATAATGTATTACTCTTGTGTCTTTTTTTTGGGGGGGGGGATGTTGCCAGTGTATTGTTGAGAAGAACTGGTAAAAAAACAGCTCAATCAGCTCAATCCCCCCCCCTCCCCGTGTTTATTTGCTGAATTCGGATCTAGTAGTTTAAGCAGATATGTGTGGAAGAATGCAGTAACACTTAGTTTACTGAGTGCAGCATAGGTTTTCTTGTCATTTAAGCTTCAGGTGTATAAGTGTGCCTTTCCATCTGGGCCAGGAATAATCCTAAAAATGTCTCCAAAATGGAATCAGAGTATTCTGACATGTGCAAATCCCATTAATTTATGTGCTTCTTGGTAGTGAGGTTTTCCTTTATCTCAAAATACTTACTGTATGACATTCTCAGGAGGTAACATGGAGATTTATGACACAATCCTATGCAATGCTGGCTCAAGTATGCTGGGAGTGGTTGGTCTTTTGTGGGCCTAAACTGCATGGAATTGTGCCCTCAATAAATAACAGAATGTTTCCTTGTTAAGTTGCTTCACTTTCATCCACAGGACTGTTGTCATATGTACTTTAAGGAAATTCTTAATGATAGACTACAGTTGTAGCATATGCTGGGACTTGTGACTTAGGGTTCCCCCATAAGTCCCCATAAGTCCCTGGAACTTATGGCTTAAGGTAATAAGCATTAATTCAATTCCAAAGGGATATTTGTGTTAGATTGTTGCAAACCAAAGAGTCTGATTGATACCCCCTGTTGAAACTCTATGCTGCCATTGATGTGTTAGTCTTTATGATGCTGTTCAACATGTCCTATAAAATATTTCATTAAAGGGTTGTATTGACATAGGCAAAGACAGGTTCATCTACTTCTGTGTTGCATGATAGCATATGAAGACTCTCCTTTTCATATGTGCAGTTATGGCAAATTCCTTTCCGCATCCCTGGCCCATTCTGGGATATGCAGCCCAGGGCTATGGACGCTGTACTCTAAGTAGGGTTTAAAAAGGGAAGACTGGAAGAAGGACCTGGTCAGGAAGAAAGTCTGAGTAAAGCCACTCTGGCCCTGTTCTGCCTGTCACAAACCTGAGAAACTTCACCATGCAACAGTATTGGGCAGTTAGAGGCAGGGTTGGGGTTGGGGGAGAAATTTAGCAAGAGCCAAAGTCCTGTTCTTTATTTAATTCAAGGATTAGTTGCAAAAAGGAAAGTGAATATTCTCTTTTGTATACTTCTTAAAAACAGGAACAATGCTAGTAACTCAATACAACCCCTGGTATTTTTCATTTGTGCTGGGGACTTAGAAATCTACAGTGATTCATTTTAATGTTTGTTTAATTAATTGATTAATACAATTCCATTCCTTTTGCAAGGAAAACAAGGCAGCTTATACAGCTGCCTCTTCTTCATTGTATTCTTATAGCAACCCCATGAAGTAGGTTAGGCGGGGAATCGGTGACTGGCTCAGAGTCATCCAGGGAGCTTAATGGTTGAGTCCAACACGTGAACCACTAAACTAGACGCTTAGTGTCTGTGTGTGTGTAGAACCTGTTTACTGGCTAGATATATATGAGATAGGCAGTGGGGCACAGGAGGAATGAGAGGGTTTTCCCTCATTCCAAAATGGCAGCTCTTTGCGAAATGGGTCCTTTATAAAAAGAAAGCAACCTCCCCTTCTCCAACTTCTTACTGTGTTTTTTTTTTCTCTTTCTCTACAGGAAAAGTTAACCCAAGAGTGTGTATTCAGAGAACAATTTGAAGAGAACTGGTATAACACATATTCTTCGAACCTATATAAGCATGTGGACACAGGAAGACGATATTATGTTGCATTAAATAGAGATGGGACGCCAAGAGAAGGGACTAGGACTAAACGGCATCAAAAATTCACACATTTTTTACCTAGACCTGTGGACCCGGAGAAAGTCCCTGAACTATATAAGGATATTTTAAGCCAAAGTTGACAAAGACATTTCCTTCACTTGAGCCCTTAAAAAAAAGAAAAGAAAAAAAAGAAAAAAAAGTAACCACTATAAAGGTTTCATGCGGTGGGTTCTTAATTGATTAGCTGTGCCATCACATCAGCTCCACTGTTGCCAAACTTTGTCGCATGCATGATGTACGATGGAGGGTTGGATGGAACATGCTGATTTAGTTCTGCACTTAAAGGGTTTGTCTTCCTGGAGGAGAGCCTATGCCCATCGCTTGATTTAATGTGAGAGGAAGGAAGGAAGGATGCGTGAGCGTGGCAAAGAAAGAGGGTGAAAGGGAGAAGCTGAAGCAAGAAGGAAGGGGGGCAAAGGCCTGATGCATGCTGGGAAATAGACACGCTTTTAAATTTTTTAATCCGTTGTACTTCATCCTATATCAGCATAGCTGCCATACTTTGACTCATCAGGAATTCTGGCTGGTGGCCTGCTCAAGTGTACGCTGCATTTAAAACAATAAAAGGCATGGAGGGCACGGTCTTACTTAAACAAACAACTTATTTTCAGTTTGAATGCTCAAGTGGGATTTACCCCTTGCTGAGTTTCAAGCAAAGACCTCTTAGGTAACACAAGAAAAGATTAAAAATACAACAAAAAAGTTAAATTTATTTATAGAAATTCCAAAGGCAACATTTTATTTATTTTATATATTTATTTATTATATAGAGTTTATTTTTAATGAAATCTGTACAGGCCAGATAGGCAGTTGGGAAGCTTTAGGCTCTGTAAAACATTTCAACAGCAAAGGCCACTATGAACCTGTGAATCATGCAAGTCAATCGTAAAGGTGCATGGAGGCAAAGAGAAATCCAGGGACTCTAATGTACGAAAGGTGGAATTTCTTTTGTGCCCATATTATTGTAAAGGTATGCACAAAACTCATGATGATGAGTGCTCGCTCTTCTGACTGCTTGTTTCATAGCTTAAACTCCCCCCTTTCCTCCCCAAGGATTAAAGATAAAAATGGGTCTTCAAAACTTTAATTCTGTGTCTGTAATATTTCCTCTTTGAGAAATTACTTATTCCATCTTTGTAAGCTTCACAGTGGTGAAAGAAAAAGAAAGGAAGGAAAGACGCGTTGGTATATATTCTCTTTGTTAAAACCTACTGCAGATAATACCAAAGTTAAATGATAAATATGCTCATTTTATTTAAGCAGAACGCCAGAAACATCCTAATATTGACTTTTAAAAATTAATTAAGGTTATCACAACTATTGCAAGAGGCGAGGGACAAGATTCAACTCTTGCAAACTTGGTTAACTGTGCACTTGACTATCTACTCTGAAATTACACAAGTTTCATAGAGGTTCTTATTGTAACATCTTTTATGGGGAAAATTGCATTGAGTGCGAACTGTCATAATACATATTAACACCCTTCGTAATGCAAAATGAAACTAATAAATCTCTATCGAGAATTTCAATGAGGGAGAAAGAACTACATTTGCTTTATTTCCTGAAATTATCTTTCCAATGTTTCTGAAGTATCTCTTGCAGGCTCTGCTGCCTCATATGCCTCAGTAGGATTAGATAACATAGTAAGTGCAAACACTGTTTGTTTGTGGCTATAATTTTGGACTTGCTGTTAGAAAAGAGACTTGTGTCACAAACCCTCTGAGAATTACAGAGCAGGCAGAAGCACTGATGGCAACTGCAGTCTCCTTCACTTGTGGGCTATCCTGATACCAGCATTACGTTATTGTGCAGAGAAACTGTACGATGTTTTGGACTAGCACAAGCAGCTCAAGATGGCTATGGTGGTTGCCGCGGTTCTGTTTAGTCTGGAATCTCACACACCTTTCCACACGAGCAATGTGTGCTCCTTTGCATTGCAGTCACCAGTTTAGAAGTAACAGAAGGGATGGTTCTGGTGTTGATTGTGCAATGCTCCAAAAGCCACTTGCTGTGGAATGAGCTGATGGTGGCAGTTTACAGAAGCAGTGGCAGTGCTGATAAGCAGTCCCGGAACCATATAATTGTACCTCAAGACACTCAGTTTCCACAGGAAAGTATTATTAGGCAAGGGAAAAGTTTCAGGACTGAAGCTTCAACCGATCTAGGGTAAGATTTCAGCCAAAGGCACAGAGAGTTAAGTACTATTTGTGGATGTGGTAAAGAGAGACAATGATCAATAGATTCAAAATGAATCCAGTGTTTCTTGGCTTGGTTACACAATACATTGGAAAGATGTATGTTTTAAAATAGCAAGCTGTGTAGGGTCATTCCACAGGTCCAGTCTTAGGACAGTACAGTACACTGTATTCCATGTGGGGCTGCAACTCCCTGTGACCACTTTTCTCCTACTTGATCATGAAACTCCTGCTCTTGTTCTGCTTTCCCCTGCCATTTCTAGTGGTAATCAGTGCTGTGGGGCAAGGCCAAGGAAAGATGATGACAACAGTGGAGGCCTTTACATTGCAGGAGAGCTGTAAACCTCAGCACAGGGCAGGTGCTTTAGTAGCAGCCTCATATCAAGTGTAATATGCTTGTGCTAGTCAATTCATACTATCTGAAGTTGGTTAGATACTAGATGTGATATCAGGCAACTCTGCATGAAAAATGCAAGATAGCTGAAATAATGCTATGAACACCACAATGCGCGCATTCATGTTAAAATGAAAATTTAGCATCCACCTTTTCTCAGCTTATACTATAACCAAATGTATCATAAATGGCTAAATATTACACTCTGGCTAAACCTTTCCAAATAAGTACACGGCAGCTAACTTAATTCTAAGGAATGTTAAACAACAAATTGCAGATTGGTTCTGCCTACAAACAATAAAAACTGACTTAGATTGCAATTTTGTACCCGTTTAAATGGGAGTAAGCCCCACTGAATTCAATGGGACTTACCTCTGAGTAGACATGTATAGGATTGCACTGTTAACTGTTGATCAGGACATTGTTAATATTTAAAAATGTTATTCCATTTTATTGTAGCTCTTCTGATTACTACCTGTTGTTTAGTTTTAATCTTTGCACCACTATTGAAATAGATATCAAATAGGCTGCACCTCTTAAAATATCTGCAAGACAGGACCATGCCAAATCTTAAGCTGCCAAGCCAAACTTAACCCACTGGATATGGTGGCTCACACTGGGCTTGATCAACTTTTTTCCTGGAATTGGAAAAAGATGGGGCATGAGACTTGTCCAACACCTGTCAAAGCACAGTCCGGGCCTGTGTTTGCTCTGGTGGAAAACACAAGTTGTACAGACCCACCATAAGTCTTTAATCGTCAAACCATTTAATTGGAATAATTACACAGTTCTCAAGAGGACTGATACATTGTAAATTACTTTTCAGTTTGGACCAGAAATGATTGTCCTCTCTGTTCTAAATGAAGAAATGAGTTAAAGAACACAGCGCATGCTCAACAACTAGAAGTGAAAAGGTGTTTTATATTGCATAAAGGTGGATTCAAGTAGCAATAAGCATCTGGATTTGCACTAAGTCCACAAACATGTTAAGGACATTCAGAACTAAGGTCAATTGTCATGAACTGACCAGAATCATAACAAGATCATATTTCTTAGCCTTAATGTGGAATTTGCTGGTATTTTTGATCACAGACAGATCATTAATATTACTTAACATGTTCTTATTTAATTTATTTTTTGTATTTTTAAAAGAAAGGACTAAAATAAGCAAGAAAACTGTTATGACTTTATGGCAGTTGATACAATAAACTGTAACCAATTTATTAAAATAACCCATAGTGGTGTGTATATACCTATTGAATTTTTGTAGATATGGAATTATTATAGACATTATCCTGGAAATGGATGGTCAAACACAGGGTAGCAGTCTACAGAGCCTTTCATATTTACCTATAACAACAGTAAAACAAAACAAATTTCCATGTATATTTTTGCATAGGTTACGCTCTTCCATCCTTCCCCCACTTGCTGCCCTCCAAGTATGTTGGATATGGTTTGTTGGTTGGAGAATACTGGGAGCTTAATCCCACACATTTGGAAGGCACCAGGTTGGGGAAGCCTGCTCTGTTCTATGCATTCACTTAAATTTCTTTGCTCAAGACCGGATGGGAATGGAAAATTACAAGGCCTGTCTTCAATAATTGCAAATAGGGTTGAAAGACACATAATATTTCCCTTATAATATAGATGTAGTATGTAATTAAATTACCTGTAGATCCCAAGTGGCATGACTGCAGTGGTTATGTGGCCTAGAGACTTTCCTTCCGGAATACACTCATTTGCCTTTACATCAAGTTTGGGTGCACCAATTGCCTGGCCTTGCTAACAGATTAGCTCCAAATGGTTGCTTATTCCAAACAAGACCTATCTCTCATAGTCAAAATAGCTAAGGCTGCTTCTAATACTGTTCCACTTGGATGCCTTGGAAATAAGGAGAGTGCATTATAATGGGGAGGGTAATGGGGAAACTTGTTGCTGCTATTCTTATGCTATGGACCATTAGAAGCCTTCATATATTCTAGTGCGGGCACCTCTTTAAAATTCTCACAAAAAAGCAATCCAAACAAGCTGGTATTATATACTTTGATAACATGTAACTGTAAATACATACAGAAATATGTACTTTGTATAAATATATTGTTACAGAATTTTGAAAATGGGTATTATTTTCTTGCAGTTCCATCAGTTAAAACATTTTCTTAAGATCTGTATGACAATTCATTTCTCAGAGAATTATGAGACCTATCAATACATGAAAAACTTGGCTTCCATTTTGAGTGCCTCATGGCAGAAAAGTATCATATATATTAAACCGTAAATAAACATATCTGATCATTTTAACATGGGGAAAATACTTTCTTTTGGTCACCCAGGCAGGCTTGACTGCATAAGCTACACATGTGGTTGCTTGGGATGGCATGTGGACTGAGAGGTACATCCGAGAATCCTTTGCACAGGATGCTGTTCCAAGAGTTGTGCTCTTAAGTTATCTCCCCTGTTGGAAAGGGAATTTGGGGCACATCTTTCTTGGCCTGTGCAGTTTAGCTGTTCGGGACCCCTGAATGCCTTTGGTTGGCTGTTTCTGCCATGGGCAGTGCTCCAGATACCATTTCTGGCAAAACTGTAAGAAACTGAGAACTCGTGTTGAAATGATATTGATGAGGAAGGCCCACATTTTTCTTTCAAGAGTGGTCTCAAAAGCACACAGTCCTTCTAAATGGAAATCAACAAGACTTCTCCCCTTTCCATTAATGGAATCAGTCTTGTGGTCAAGTTAATTGATTTTATAGCCATATGGGACCATTCATGCAATTTAATGTAATTTCCTGTGCAATGCAGGCAAAGTTAATGTTTTCCAATTATTACTGCATTAAACCTGTTAACACTGCATTTAACTGAAATCTCTATATTGTATTTGGCAGGTTTAGGGCAGGGGTGAAGAACCCCTTGTTCACAGGCCATTCTAGCCTGCCTGGGGTTCTGGTCTGACTTGGCCTTGCCATCCTCCCTTCTGATGCCTTAGACACCTACCTTTGATTACTGCTTGGTTGTGTATCGGAATTGGTAGCCCAGTTGCCAGTCAGCAATTACCTCTCCCTATCCCTTTAAAAATTGTTCTAAAGAGCTTTGGGGTGAGCTGCCACATATGGGGTGGGAGGGGGAACTGCTGTTTTCCTGTGATCCTTCAAGGTGGAAAATGGAGAATGCACCTTTGATAGTTTGACCGTATATATACATTGCTAAGTGTTTTGCAAAATCATGACCAGAGAAGAATTGCAGAACTTTACCATTAACAGTGAAGAAATCAAAATTGTGAAGGATTTCATATACCTTGCTCACTTATCAGTTCAAAAGGAGACTGCAGCCAAGAAATCTGAAGAAGAGTGAGAGTCTTGGAAAGAGAGCAATAAAAGAACTAGACAAGATAATATTAAGGATGTTTCACTGGAGACCAAGCCCAAGATCATTCATACTATTGTATTCCTGATCACAGTGTATGGGTGTGAAGGCTGGCAGAGAAGAAAACTGACAGAAAATTGATGTGTCTGAAGCATGGAGGAGGAGATCTTTGCAAATACCCTGGACTTGACAGAAAGACAAACAAGTGAGTCATAGATCAAATCAATTCAGAGCTTTCTGTAGAAGCAAAAATGGCAAAACTGAGGCTGTCTTACTTCTGACACCTCATGAGAAGGGAAGACTTCCTGGAGAAGACATGCTAGGGAAAGCTGAAGGCAGAAGAAGAAAAGGAAAACCACATAAGAGATGAATTGACTTCATAAAGGAAGCCACGGAGTTAAAAGTGCTGAGGGGGAATGTCATGGACAGGTCATTTTTGAGTGCTTTTATTCATGGGGTTGCCTTAAAGACAACTTGATGGTACATAACAAGAACAAGTGTTTTGCAATTGTTTGTAATGTGTTAATGTTGAGACACAGAATCTTGTTCAACTTTCATCTGCTAGACTGAGGAGTCATCTGCTAAAAGGAGGAGCCCTTTTGGACACAGCATTGTTTTCTCTGAAAGATCAATTTATGCCCTGGCAATAAACCACTTTCATTTCCCTTTGATAAGATAAACAGATTGCATGTTTAGATTGCACTTGTGAGTCTATTTAGCAAAGACCTGCTTCTTGCAATATCTCTGTGTGCCATACATGTGGGCACTGATGTTCTAGAGGTATCCACTAAAGGAAAAAATATCCCTGGCAGAGAAGATGCTGCTGTTTGTGAGAAGAAAAATACCAGGGGACAAAACAACTACAAGACTTTTCAAACAATGGAGACCTCCACATTATTCTTTTTAGTGAGATACTGGAGGAAACTAGGCCCTTTCTGGTAGTGGAGATGGGATATGCCAATCTGTATTGAGCCTTGGTTTTTAGGATAGTTGCATTCATGCTTGCTACAAATTAAATCAGAGAAGATTTGCATACCAATCCTCCTATGGGGGAATAGATAAATTTCAAAGTACACGGGGGAGGAATAAAATGGCAAAGTTTCAACAAATGGCATTTCAATAAAATGGTTTGGGGAAGGGGAGGGATGAAAGCATTATTTGCCCATTGTCATCAAAGAGCTACATCTGTTGTCCCAGGCTTCAGCAGTCAGTGGAGGAGTGCTGAGCTGCTAATTAAATATAAGAATAATATTTCTCATACAATGGCACAAACTGGAGGAGCATGTTCTAACACCTGTTCATTGGAAGCATTATAAAACAAGGACCAGCCTCACTGTGAACAGAATTTGCAGAATTTGCGGTACTTGCTGAAAGGGGGCAGGGAATGACAAGTCACCTTGGCAAATCTTGCTTCTTGGAGTACCTTGGACAAGAAAGCACATTGTCCTACCTTTCCAAATGTTATGTGCACAGCAATCCCATGCACGGCCATGCAGAAGTAAGTCACAGTGAATTCAGTGGGGTAATTTAGTCATATCCTCTTTGGTGAGGCTACACCACATGCTACAGCAGTGTAGGCAACATTTTGGTTCTTTGCACACATTTGGTAATTTGAGAAAGCCTTCTTGGTACCAGCGCAAAATGGACACACTAAAGATGAAAGCTACAGCTTGCAGCCGTCCACAGTCTTATTTTCTTCGGAACATTAGTGTCATTCGCAACCTAGAGGCATTCACAGGAAAAGAAAATGGGGCTAGGCAGAGGTTCTCACTTCGCTTTGAAGAGATCTCAGTAAAATTGACACTTAGCATCTGGAAAGCAGAGTGAGCAGACACATGGGTAACAACTATGTAGCTGCATTTTATTTAAAGTACAATAAAATATTTGTAGATACCTGTGCAAAATATCATGTGCAAATTTTATGCAAAACAGTTCCCTCTTTTACCCTCTGTTTCAGTGACACATTTATTCTCTTTCTGACAATGCATAAATGGACACCTTACATGAAGGGCTTTAAATGGTATGTGTTGCGAGCTTGAGAGAGTTTATTCAGAAGAAAGGCAGAAGAAGAAGACCAAATAAGACAGGGGTTGACTCCATAAAGGAAGTCACAGGCTTGAATTTACAAGAGCTGAGCAGGGCTGTTATAGATAGGATATTCTGGAGGGCTTTCATTCATAGGGTCATCATGAGTCAAAGGTAACTTGATGGCACACAACAACAACAAGGTCTTCCAAGTTTACTGGGACTTAGCATACTAAGTGTGCTTATATTTGCAGTTGAAAGGTATAATCCTATGCATATTTAGAGATAAAAGGAGGTGTTCAGGTCCCAGCATGTCCCAGTCAGCATGGCTGGACACCAGTGCACTATGCCAGTGTGCCATTTACTCTTGCTATACTCATATGTGTGGGAATAAACTCCAGTGAACTCAATGAGATTTGCCTTTGGGTAGACATCATCAAATTGCACAGATTGCAAATACATACATGCACACACTGGTGTGAGAGTCAGTTCTTCCAACCAGGATGGGATTTACCTCTGAGTAGACATGCTGTTTGAGCCTGACAATCGCAGCTGAGGAGGATCATTTGCTAAAATGGAATAAAGAATGGCAACAGATTTTGTTCTAAACTAGGCAAAGGCTGCATTGCTCTTTACAATTACTTTCATTAAGAAAATGTTTTGAAAATATTTGAAAATTGAAAATATTGCTCAATGCATATTTAGCAATATTTAGCAATGCATTGAGCAATATTTAGCAATGCATACCCTGTAAATTTTTTGTAAGGCTTGCAATAGCTGTTGCAATACAAATGCACACACATTCCTGTGAGTTGCCTGTGAGCAAAGTCACCTTGCTTTGCTTAGGTTTTTCCCCCCTTTGGAGACAAATACTTGCATGTGGAATGCTAATTAATCTACATTTTAGAGGTTTGCAGGCTTGACTTTAATTTACTCATTAAGGATAACAGCAAAGAACAGTTGAGAAATGTTCCATAACCTTTATGGAAATGTGTCAACATTTTACTAGGACCTAAGCCTCAGACTACTTAAGAAGCCATTTTACTAGGATCGTTAACTAGTTTTGTTTAGTTTATTAAATTTCTAGGCCTCCAAGTAGATTAAAAGCAGCCTTCGGTGTATAAAATATCCAAGTATCACCATAAAACCTCAAGTAACAGCATAATCATAGTACTAACAACAATTAAGATTCTAGTATAAGATACAGATGCAAATCAAAGTAATTCTGACCTTGAGAAGTGCAATCATAGTAAAAGCATGATCATGTCACTAAATTCTTTCAATAATAATAGTAAGACCTGCATTGATTTTGAAGGGACTCACTAGAGCCTTGGGTTTTTGTGGATAATTTTAGGTTTAAAAAAAATCATAAGCACGATTATGGGAAAGGTGCTTTATCCATCATCCAACTGTACTTTTTTTATCAGTGAGTCAGCTGTGCTGCTGATGAAGATCCAGAGGCATTTTCTGGCTGTTTCGGGATCCCAGTGGTTTTTGGTAGGTCCAGGGAAAGAGCAATCTAATTGATTGAAAAGTAGAGGTTGCCATATTTTCAAGGAGTCTCCATTTCAAGGTTTTAGTCACCTTCTCAGAATTCAAATCTTCCCTGAGATGCAATTCCTTTCCCTAGAAACCTGGAGGTGCTGGAAGCAAGGGAGCCAAATTTCCCCCCCCACCAACCCTCTTTCTCAGTTATCCCTGCAGTTCTCC